AATGTTTACTGATTCCGAAAAATTCATGGTAACGTAAACTATTTGAATTTCTATATAGATTTATCACCATGGCCTTGATTCATTTATTACTCTTTTTATTGTTGTTATCGAATGACAACTCTCATGTCTGTGCTTAAGCGTTTGAAATTGGTTGTGGACAAACAACTTGGCATGATAACAAAACTAACATAAAATAGAAAACACGAGTCTACGAAGCAGCAAACATGGGAGGACAGCCTCAATATCATTGAGTGGTTGCCTCATTATCAGTCGCAAAATACTGAGAACAACCAAAATGTCATACAAGTATTAAGTGGATTGAAATGATCGCCCACACTATCAATGTTAAGTGCCCAGTATCTATGTCCTCCCTCCTAATTTGATGTTAAGCTCTCTTAACTTGTTGGTTAGATTATGGTTATGTCTTATCTCCAAGTACTATGTTCCACACCTTGATAGAATACACGAATTCCAGGCTTCTAAGCCAAGGATATTTAATAATGCCTATCTATCATTTGCACTGACTTTGACATAGCATTATGTGCTATGCGATCTTCGACAGATATTGATATGGTACGACTCAGAGGGACTTTAAAATTTGTCGTATATATTCCTACAAACTTATCTTCTGTTTCCTTCTTGACTGAGAGGTAAATTAGTTCACGGTTGCTCTTGCGAGTTTCCCAGCAGGATCCGAACAGCGTCCGACTCATCGGAGCTCTTACATAGTAAGGCTCATTCACCTTTCCAGCACTTATCTGCATCGTCTGGTGTACGCCATGTGCGTTACACTCAGTGACGCCGTAACATTCCCGTATTCTACTCTTGAAAAACTTGTGTCCTTCAGGTGGGATTAGGTCGATATCTGATGTACTGTTGGCACAGTTCTATGCGCTGACGGTAGTCTTTCGGACGTTAACACTATTGATCTTAACAGAAAACGGAAGATCTGACGGCTCCTTTCCAAGCGTAATTTTTGCTCTCAGTACCATCTTATGCTTCTCTTCACTGATTAGCATTGACGTAGACGTCCTCAACAGAGTTCTTTGGTTCTACCCGCTTGATGTGAAGCAGAGTATGATGCTATCAACCGCACCTTTCAGCCAAGCGTGCTCTTGGTAATCCACGGTATTCTGCTATATGGTTTTCCACCAAACAAACATCATCTAGTTCATGTCTTGGAACAAACTCTCTCTTTTCTCTAACATCCTTATTATTAGACTTCTGGCACTGACTGGCACTGGCAATGATTCTCTGAGCACATCAAAGAAGATGAACCACGGTAACCATAGTCGTCATGTGATGGGATATTGTCATTACTAGAGCTGCCATAGGAGATCCTTGCTGTCTCGTGATCTGAATTAAATTTCCCCTTTACAACATCAGCATGTTTATCATCGTTAATATTACCTAGGCTAACAAGTAGGATATATTTGGTGTTGGCTAAATCAGCTTGTCCCTTTACAAACTTGGCGAAATCGCAATACAGAGGCTCTATCACCTTTGGTAATCTTATAAACTACCTTTAGACACTCTTGCATTGGTAATTTCAAAACCATATTTCTAGTGTAATTCAAATGAGAAATAAATTCGTCTTTTCGAGAATCTGACTTCATGCTTACAATCCACGAGACAATCTTCACAAACAGTCCGGATGATTTCATTACTATATTAGGAAAATTTGACAAATTGTCCATAAAAGTGAGTGCTACAGTATGCCCTTGATCAAACTTTTTCTCCAAAATCTTTCATGCTCAAAGATAACCTATATCCGGTTAGAGCATATTACAATAAAGGGTAGCGGCTCCCTCTTCTCAGTCACAATGCTGAATTAAGTAATCCAACTTAACTCTGAATCCAATGTTTTCACTGCCAATACATTCTTCGGGGTTTCTAATAAACCTTCAATAACTTAAAGGTATACCTTCGAAACTTAAGGTTTCTCTCTTTGGCAAATACGGATGTTTTAGTATTGTATTTCTGTTGTTACTTACTGAGTGACCAAAACCTTCACTCCCCTGGCGATGTAACTTTTCTAGTTCAATTTCTTTCTTCAACTGAGTTGCACGTAACCTAGCTACCTCTAACTTTGTTGGCTGATTGGTTTGGAGTCCATCCTTTTCACGTAGGTCTTCGTCATAAGTTTGCGGATGAAGAAGTGACAACTCTGGAATCTTATCGTAATTATAGTACTTATTGAAAGTCTTTTCATTAGGAATGTCAAATTAACTATTCAAAACTTTGAAGGAAGTAATGTCCTACAGATGTAACTATAAACGTTCACCAGACTGTCAAGCACTGAGTCTTAGCCTAGTCAAAGCCAAGACAAGTCCGTTACTTGGCTTGATAAACAGGGAAAACAATAATTCAATACATTGAGCAGGAAAAAGATACATAAATGACATACCGAACAAGAACTGCAAGACAAGAAAATTTAGTTGACAACGGAATATCGTGTGGACAGATGTAAAAATTATGATAAGCGAATAAACAAGGCTTAATCATACTAGGTCAAAGAGAGGTTATGTGGAGATGGGTGTTCATTTCTTTTATTAATGGAATTATTCATCGAACACACCTTTCATTTTTAATGTTTTACAATGATAATACATTCACTGTCAATCAATAATTGGTATCCTACATCACATTATCAAACGACAATTAAAATTGATTAGGTGATCTATACATAGTTGCTTGTTTCGTAGCGAATATCACGCAGATTTAAATAAAGCCTTTCTATTTACATAGTACACTCCACGAATCATACTGTAAAATTTACGGATTGTTAAAATAGATCTATTTTGTAACTTGCATTTGTTGCTACCATCACTTCTCATAATTCGCACAATTAATAGTATTGGCTGTAAAATTGTCGTTTGAAAACATATACTTTGAGCTTCCACTTGTGAACACACATAACATGACCCATTGACTGTCACTCACAAATTCTCTTCTGAACACACGGTTGTTCCAGTTTCCGGACAGACCAACCTATTTATTCTTCTCAAGCCTTATTTTGACCTTGTCACTTATTGGCTTATTAACCTGAGTGCTTCCATATGATCATATGAGTGTTAGTTGTTCATCCTAATCACTTTATATCTGTAACTTATTTTCGGTCTGCCTATAAATATTGAGTAGCGCTTGATTAAATCGAGTTGGCTCACTTGCCTTCTCCTATCCGCTTCGCTGTTTCCTCTTCGTTTCGTTTCTTTGGTTGTCTGTTCAAATCAATGAGTGCGTGAGATATACATATTCATAATCAATTTTCGTATTTGACTTATTTAATCCCGTCATTCACTTTTCGTGCCTGTAGGTAACTCACGTGCTACCGATAGAATAAATGTAACAGCTTAGGTTGGTTGGATAAGAGTTCACCACAAACAACTAAGCATATTTCAAAACATTATAGTTCAAGTATTCATTCACTCCCTTATTTTGTATAGGCGTTATATTTTCTATTATCTTATATTGAGTGTTGAGAGGGTTTGTTTGCCTGAACAAATAATCTCACGTTCCACTGTGACTGTGCGAAGATCTAAATAAAGACCTATTCACTACTTGCCTGGTTTCTGAAGAATTATGGTCTACTGTGGTATTAGCACTGATCTAATAATAGACCCAATCCTAAAATTGTAGATTTGCTGATATAACTGCCTAATCTATAAGATCTTACGTGAAAGTCACATCATCGTCTACACCAACTCACTACATCGTAACAATTACCAATACATAATAGAGAACAAACTTAGGCCGGAGAAAGAACAATATATTTTATGCGAATAAAATGTATAAGGTAAAATTGAGCGGGGACCACGCCTGCATGACCAAGCCATGCTATTCGACTAACTCCGATTAACTCAAATCCTTGTTCTTGCCTTCTCCATCGTTAGGTATTTCTTCGCGTTAAATATTGATTATCTGTTTTCCGAGTAGTCTCGTGTTCAGCTTTGAGGATTGTGTGGTTAGGGTCCGATACCACTAAATATGTACACTGATCTATTTTGTTTATACAAGGAAAGTGATAAAGACTTATTCAACTATTATAGTCTGATAACTCGATATTGTAGACCAAAGTTAATACTATAAGCAAAAATAGATTGTGACTAGCAGTGCAATCCTTAGTGAAGACCGTACCTATAGTACGGTCCCCAACGTTCACTTAAGTCTCACAACTGCCTCCACTATTTCTTAGTTACCTGTCCAAACCTTTGAAATACACGTACTACAGCTTAACAATTTTGTGTTTGGATTATTAGACCTAATTCAAATACAAAAGTGAGAAAATATAAAAGAAAGCAAAAAAGCTTGGATAACGAACAGATAGAGAAGTGACTTCGCAAGCAATACACACCAGGTTATAGACAACTACTGATCTTTGTTAATGAATTCATTCTGCATTGTCATCTGAAAAATAATTTTTCTTTGCAGATATGGTAGGCCAATTCAAGACAGTGTGTTTATATATGTATAATTAGGGATAGAAAGAGATTGAAGTACAAAATGCATGCAAAAAAATAATTTTTTGATGTAGAAGCAGCAGATTAAACAGTGGGATTTCTTTTTTTTTCACCTGTATTCATTTTCATGACTATGAGATTATAATAATAATAATAATAATTTATTCTCAAATAACAGTTTGTTACATGAGGCATGCCAGTTTACAGGCAAGATCAAATTGATACAAATGATACAATATACACTGTATTAAATTACATAGCTGGGTTGAAAATTTATAAGACATGAATGTAGATTGTTTTAATCAGTACTATAGTTGGCGCGCTTCACGAAAGTTGCGTTGCGAATGTGCGACTGATGGTCAAGAATAGGTCCATTGAAGGTATGAGCTTCTAGAAATCGCAACCTTATGTCCCTTTGGGATATCCAAGGCTTTAAGGATGGTGCAGGATGAAGTAACCTGTTCCATGTCTCAAGGGGGCTGAAAGAGGGAGCAAGCAAAAGAAAACACGAGAGGCAGAGTAGCCAATATTCATGTAGGAATGTTTAAGGTATGATTACTCAGTCTAATTTTCTTTTATTAAGGTATTTGTTAAGAAAGAGCATTTTAATAGGTTAAAGAAAATAAGCTTTAGCAAGGTGTGAGTGGACATACAACTGACAAATGGAGGCGATTCGGAAAAGAGCTGAGAGTATAAGATTATGTGTGATTATAAAATAAAATATAGTGCTAGAAACAGTATTGTGATATACAACTGGCTGTCTTCGTTTTACTATCGAAGCTATTAGAGCCCCTTTCGTTTTTTTATTTGTTTTTTTTCAGGTTTTATAGGGTCTTGAGTAGGCTTCGTATATTAGCGAATTGTCTAGTTTGCTTGTAATAGGATTTCTGAGTAGGAAGTGAAACCAATTCAACGTTCGTAACACGATTTAATGAGGTATTTTGCGTGATAAATCAGCTTCAGTACCTTAAGTCCGTGACATCCCACTAAACCATAAGGAGCCGTAATTAAACAAAATGTTCTGCCCTACAGACATGGGTGGATTGAAGTTATCTCCCCACCTTCACGTTTGCTGGTCAGTAACGCCACCCTCCCTCCTTTTGTGATGTTAGGCTCTCTTACGTTTGTGGTAAGTATGATTAATGCTTTAATCAAAGCACATAGTTGGAATACACTGTCTCTACTAGGTCCATGTTACAAGCAAATCAGATATTTAAAAATTCTGTTTTATGGGTTAGATGTCCATATAGTATATCACACTGCTATGAAAATAACTAATGGTTTAAAGAAGTAAGGATTAATAGTAAATCAAAAGATATGAGAGGGTATAAAATTGTAGAAAAAAAAGAAAAAGATTTTAGGGTGAGAAAAATAAAACATTGAGAAACTCACAAGACTTTGTGGCCAAATTTTGAGCTTTGAATGATCGGCCTTAGTAGATCAGCATCCATAAGATTGAGCTATCTGTCTACTTGCAGTAGAAAAAAAGCATGACTTTTAGGAAGAATAATGTACATTTAACCTGTAGAGATTTGGGGACTGAAAGCTAGGGTTAGGAGCATAAGGCCATGATTAATAAACAATGAATAATAGGAAAGGATAAGCCATATATCCTGTGATTTGGTTATATTCAGATTAGTAACAGTCGAACTTGTTATAATTTTGTTCTTTCTAGATACTAGGCGGTCCGTAATAAAGTGCCTCATCGGTGGGCGGGAGTTCAAGGTAATGTTGAAGCTCTTTGGAGTCTAGAAATAGGGTTATTAGCTTTTTGAATCTGGTAAACGTATCACAGTTACGGATAGGCATTGGCAGCCTGTTCCACAATAAACTGTACCGTACTGTAAAGAACTTACAACGCATTTGTTTTTGGTGTTTTACGGTAAGTAGTGTATATGCGTTGTTTCTAAGTCTATAGGCTGGGTCGTGGGTGATAGTCGGGCAGGAGGTTAGAAAGGAAAGCCCATATATCGCTTTGTAGAGAAATATTAAATTGTGTTTTAGCCTACGGTGCCATAAAGGTTCTAAAGATAGATGCTTACATCTGTCTGTGTAATCGAGATTCGAGTTACATCCTAGTAGTTGACGTGTGAAACGTCTTTGAACATCTTCTACTCTTATCTTGTCTGCGATATTCATATTAGAGAAGACAAAAGAGCAGTATTCAAGGGTGGGTCGTACACATATTTTGTAGATAGTAAGTTTACCCTCTGTTGTGAAAAAGTTTTTCATTATAAAACCAATTAGCCGTCTAGATTTAGAAATAATAGAGGAGGCATGTTCTTCAAAGTTTAGGCTTCCTGTGTAATTAATTCCTAAATCGTGTACTGATTCGAGTGTTTGGACTATACATTCATTTAAGTGAAGTCGCGGTTTATAGGGATGCTTTCCAAAGTGCATGATATCGCACTTGTTGAGGTTAAATGGTAATTGCCATTTTTCACTCCATATAGTTAAGTTATTGAGGTCCTTTTGGATCTGGGATACACTTTCGCTTAGTGTTTATGATGTGAATGGAAGCGGTGGTTTTTGGAATCAGGTGATTCTTGTCGATATTTTTTATGATGATGACGGCGACGATGCTCGTCATGATAATGACATGAAGAAGGACGGGGCAGACTACTGCTACAATCGAGCTCCCTATTACGATGATTATGGTGGTGATGGTTATCGTCGGGACCATTCCATGAATTATGATGGGAAGAACTGTGTTTAGATGAATGACGACTTTTATGCTTTTCCTTATGACATTCCACGACAGAAACTCATACTTACTATGGTTAGAATCAGATACGCTGCTGGCAAATGCGTCTAGCCAGCGTCTAATAAATATATTTACCCAAATTTTCAACAAAATATGGTCTACTATTTTGTGGTGTTTGAATGAACTAATGATACCTTTGTACTTGTTGAATGCTCGATTTCGAATTCCAAATACAATACATTCGTTTGTGCTTGTGTCTCACTTCTTAATTCAATTGCGTTATTTCTGGGACTCTTAGTTCGTGCTATAATTCAAATAATTCAAAATATTATACTGGCGTCGCGATGGAGCCTGTAATGGAAAAGTTAGATATTCATTCAACTTCGGAAGCTTTTGAAGATTACTTTGAAAGGTTCGAAATCTGGGCTATGACCAAGGAAGATGATCATGTTAATATTGTGGCACACTTCCTCACATTCATTGGGAGAGAAGCATACAGCTTATTAAGAACTCTGGCTATGCCGGAAAAGCCCATTTCGCTTCCTTATACAGCTCTCAAGGAACTGCTGCTAAACTATGTTCAGTATACAAATTTCGAATGCCGTAAAGGAGGAAGATTTCGTAAAATGATTCATCAGGATATAAAAAATTCCACTACATCACGTCATCCCAACCCAGTTCATACTCAAGATTATGCAGACAATTCATTGAGGAGTTGCAATGCATTTCACGAAGATAGGCACAAGTTTAGTCAGTGTTTGTCCTATGGCAAGTTCCACTCTTTTAATTCATGTAAATTTCGTAATTCTAAGTGCTTTAAATGTGGTGATATTGGACATATTCAGTCAGTCTGTAATACTAATGTTCATCTTATTGCAACTAATATTAAGACTTGTAATTCTGATTCTACTCAGTCGAGTATTTATAATGGTGATTTATCTTTATCAACGATTGCAATAGACAATGTAGTCACAAAGTAGTTCAGAGTTAAATGAAATCCAGAATTCTTGCGAAACAACAGTTTCTAACCAATCGATTTATCAGATTTCTCATGTTATTGTACCAAATATGGCTTTTCCTAATAATTCATATATTTCTGATGAAATTTCTTACAGATCTGAAGAAGATATGTTGAGTGAACATAATTATGATCGAAAACCTGATGTATTTTTGATAGATGCTGATTTTTCTAATGATCCTTTAATCTGCAATGACATTCTTAATGAATTCGAGGAAACTATTCCAGAAGAGTCAAGTCTTGATGTCATACCAAATATTATTTGTCCCCATAATTCATTTGTTTCTTGTGGGAAGCTTGTTCAATGCGAAGCACGAGTATTAAACGAGCTCCATTCTGATTACAATTCAGATTATTTCACATCAATCGCTGTTAATCCTTATCACAAATTCACTTCTAATGTATACTCCAATCAATGTGAGAAATATGTTTTAAACGAAGCCACATTATTCATAACTTGCGGATATAAAGATCTAACATTATTTCGTGGGGGAGGGTAGTGTTCAAATTCTAGATATTAATGAATTCAGTACAAAACCAGCATGCTGATTGTATACAATTCCAGGTGAGTCTGTTCCGATTTCGGTTGTTAATTCTAATACTAATGAGCACATTCTAGATACTACAAAGTTTCTATCCAGTACAATGTCGGACAGACTCAGGAAGAAGACGTAAAACCGATTACAAACACTTTTACTCTTATTTAAGCTGTGGCGGATGTGGTGCTTGAATGAACTAATGATACCTTTGTACTTGTTGAATGCTCGATTTTGAACTCCAAATACCATATATTCGTTTGTGCTCGTGTCTCACTTCTTAATTCAATTGCGTTATTTCTGGGACTCTTAGTTCGTGCTATAATCCAAATAATTCAAAACACTATATATTTACATATACATATTAAATGACTATCGCAAGAATAAGTACAAAACCCCCTGACCAGCAGTCGACAGGTTTAAACTAGTTCGACAAAATGTTCCATTTACTCTATCTAACATTCTGAGTTCGAATCTGAATACATTCATTACTCAAAACTCTAAACTTTTAGCTTTAGGAACTTAAGTCCAATTAATACAATGGACTTCACCTACAGCACAAGGTTCATTTAGAGAACAGAAAAACCAATCAATGTATGATTAAAAACACCAATCTCACGAAAAGACAACTTTGGCTGAGGGTCTCTTTCTCGCAAATTGAGCAGCTACAACCGTTTTGGTACCTACCGTCCTTTTAAAACTGATGAACATATACAAATTTACATGTAATTTTCGAAATCATTTACTCTATCACGTTGAAGAAATTATTCCATCAAATTAATTCAGCATACAGCAGAATGTATGAAAGCTTTTGTCTCCTCAACATTTCAAAATAAATTGTTTGACAAGATGATAATATAAGTACTAGTGCATTTAATGTAGGAGATTTTTCACATATGTTCTAAACCTATTTTAGTAGACAATATAACAAGAAGACATACTTAACATTGCCACATCAACTTAGTGTATAATAGGCCAGAGCAACGGTCACGTTTACATTCATGTAGTCAATGAATTTGTCAAATTACGATGCAATTTTTACTAAAAAGCTAGATTCTCCTTTGAACTCTAATATGGCTGTAATTTATGTTCAACATATCAGTTTGCGTTATACCGGACATGTGCAGTACATTCAAGAATGATATCGTAAGTTACGGAAAGCTTAACAATAGTCATGCCTGTTTTTAAGTAGGCCATCAGTGAATATTGGTACTGGAGAAATGTTTGAGGCTAAGTTTATTTCCTGTAGTTGTGCTGTAAACTATGTTTTGATGACCTAACGACTGTAATCCTCAGTTCTCTGTTAGGTAAGTTCTACTGGACTGTAGTTTGTTTTTTTGGTCTATAGGCTTAATTATCCATAATTGACTACTTTACGT